GACATGCCTCTGGGTTTTTTTAATAGGTCAAACCCATCATACTCATATTCAAGTCATTCCATTTCCTCTCTTCTAAAGGTTTTCTTAGTCTTGAACTCAGTGAAGAAAGAATACCAATTTCCACCCATCCCATTTCCTGCTTAAGAAATGATAAGGTTCCTAAGACATGACCAGACTCACAAACCCCAGTGTAGGTTATAACAAATCAGCTGAAAATTGCTGATTATTTTTTTTTTTTTTTTTTTTTAACTGGGAGGTGGTGAGAAGAGTTTGCCATGAAAAGATTGATGCAAACTCCAGAAAGCTACATAGCGAAAAGCGTTGCTTTGCAGTGCAACATTAATTGCTTTACAGCATGGATAAATATAAACTGCTATGTATGGGTAGAGGAAAAACTTTATTCATCAGAAATTAATTTCTGGATGGAAAAAGGAATTGGGTCAGTTTCACTGGAGTTAGAATGTGTCTATGTATAGTGATTCAGCTTCAAGCCAGTGAGCTCATCTAAAACCAGGACTTACTCAGATTCACAACACTTCCAAAATATTGTGGGTAGGACAGGATAGGTCATTCTACTGCCTAGATTTTTAATACTTGGTCAGTCTGTTGATGACAGTTGCTATGTTTAATTGTTTTTTCTCCACTGAGTTCTTCTATTTCTTCTAATCTGTCTTGTGTGTTTTTTTTAAAGCCAGATCTATTAAATTAAGGCAGTGTAGTGACATGGGTGCTCTTTGTTTTAATGCATGTGATAATGGTAAGTCTGTGTTGGAATAAATTAAGTTCTGAAAAACCACATACTGAATATCTTTATAAGACATTTCCCTCTAGTCATTTTTAATACATATGTGCATGAGAGTCTTGAGATTTTTTTCTGCTTTGTAAGATTTTTTTTAATAATTGTTTTATTAGTTTTAAAAATGTTTTCTAACGAAGTGTTATTACTAAGATTGGAAAATAAATCAAATATGCAGTGAGATTACTTAACTGTGAAACTTGAGTGCCATCCTGCTAATGAGGCTTGCAAAAGAAAATTCATCGAGAAATTAACTGGAGAGCAACAGGAAAGGAATAAAATCTTAGTTTGTCAGTTCTTAAAAGGGTGTTCATAAGCAAACATGCAGAGGTTCATCTTTACCTTAAGTGATTCTGGCAAAATAGCCCTTTTCTATCATAGCTTGTTTCAAAATAGGTTAAAGACCTATTTTGCTGGTAGGATTGTCTGTTCTGTGAAGGCTTTCTCCAGCATAATTTTGGTTAGTAAAAGCGTAGTATCTTCATACTTCCAAATGACACGGTTATATTTGCGCGTTTTTATGAATGCATGGCCATCTAAAGACTCATACATTGAAGGTAAAACAGTGAGGAAGAGGAATTTAAATGGAGTTTTCAGTGATATAGTTCCTCTGTGAAGCATCATACTATTTGTTTGGGCAGTGAAAAATACCCTAATGCAACTGAATTAGTTTATTTAAAAAGTAAACATCTGCTTAAAAAAGAAATGTTACACCTGAGTCCTCTATTGGAATGGTGTTTGGCCCTTTCCGAATAATGCTTGCTTGTTTCTGTTTTTACTAGTAATCTGAATGTTTTGCAGGAAGTAACTAGCAGAGGGCGAAAATTATCTCTGCCATCAAAAAAACCCCACCAAAACCACATTGAAATTGGTGTGAATATAACTTGAATCAAAAGAGATTGCACAGCTACTGATGAAGTAATGTAATTGTATGCAGGTATGGATTGATGCTGATGATGGCTTGTATTTTAGAGTCAGTTGTACTGAAGTAGTTCATAAAGGATTAAAAGAGGGTCAAGAGTTTATTGTATTAAGTACAGTAGAGCTCCCAACAAAATCCACTCCCTTCAGAGGAGTTCACTCTACTCTTTTGAAAGGAGTTAACCAAACGAAAGAACGTGCTTATTTTGGAGGAAGCCCTTGGGGATGTGTTCTGTTTATTCTGTTTTATATAGAATAATTATTTTAAAATAATTACTGAAGGTAAATGTGTAAGTGTAAACAAACTTACAAAGAAAAGAATGTGCTGTGATATGAAATAAAGTTGAGCAAAGGTAAGAGCAGCAGCAAGCATTCTGCTCATACTGGCTGTAGGGACTGCTACTGGCTTCTAGATTCATGTTTCAGTCGCACATCTGAATGAGAAGACAATATTTTTCTGATCAGCTCAAATATTTCAAGCATATGGGCTGAAATGAAAGAAAACCTGGGGGCATTTTTATAAGAACCAGAAAAATAGACCATTATGCTGATGCCATGTTGTAGCAAGTACGAGTAACATACTCAAAAAGAGCTAAATAAAAGTAAAAAATAATACAAATTCTAAAAACAAGAGCAGGAAATCAAGTTGTATACAGTAGAAGGTGGGAGCAAGACTGTGAACAAGACATTCATTGAGTGTCTAATTTTTTATGTCAAATGGACTTTGGTCCGTTATGGTGTGATATGTAGGGATCAAGGAAGGCAACAATAAAGAGAACGTAATCAAGGCAATGAAAAGAAGTTTGCAAGTAGCAAACAACCTCGCTTTCATACAAGGCATAAATGTAAACTAAATTTATGTGAAGGAAGAGAAAATTAAAAATGATACGGTCATGATAATGACAGCATTACAGATAAAAGAAAGTAAGATGCTTTGGGAGGCAGGCACGGAGTACATTTCTAGGTGTGTTTAAAGTAGCGATAAGTTATGCAAGAAGATCTGAAATGCAATGAACGTAGTATTTCAGAGTACCTGCGTCCTTGAAAATAAGCCTCACACTTTGTATTGTCATGCAGGACTCGAGATTATTACATTATGGTATTGAAATGTGTATAAATACTGAAGTATATGTTGTGTGTGAAATGCTGTCTATGGAATTAGAAGTAGGATTGTGGGTTTTTGTTAGACTGATATGTTAAGCTAGCTCAGGATGAGAAATCCATGTTTCGACGAAGGGCACCCGTGTAGTTCACATGATCTGGGAAGTTATGGCTTCCACCTGCTTGGACACACCATGTCTGAGGGGCACATATGTAACTAGAGACAGTAACCCTTTAGGTACTTAACGTATTAGTGAAATGGAGACCACACTGGACTGTGTGTTATCAGGGGATGATGTGTATATACACATAGATCTGGTGCTTGATGTGGCTGCATGTGGAGCATGTGACAAGCACATTGCACAGCAAAGGGGCTACAGCACGCGTTGTTCCGTCTGGCTTTGTCTTGGCCGTGTGGCGTGCCCCAGTAAAAGGACTGAGCACCTCTTGCCAAATCTGTGCAGAAGAAGACTTTATGCTAGAGGTGTTTATTCCTTTTTCAGCATGACTTTCCAGATAGAGAATGACTGCTGGTTCCGTCTTCAAGTAGCAGTTTTCTATTGTGAGAACAAACACATTAAGAGATTAATGTAAAAGCTAGCTGATAAATGCAGAATCACTTAATCTTGGTAGGATATATACCTATCCATTAGCAACAGTTTGATTCAATTCACAGATCTGCTGCAGATAAGAGAAACTGCACACAAAAATGCAGTTGAACTGAAAGTTTTGGAAAAATACGTAATATTCATTACAAACATTGCTTACAAAGCACAGTCATTGGGAACTGCTGAGGAAAAAAAGGAAACTGACATGACATACAGCTGTATGTTGTTTTTTAAAGATTTTTAGGTACTTCTAAATTCCAGTATGCAGCCTATTAAATGGAATTAAAGAGAAGCCATAGGACTAGTCTTTAGGAAAAATTAGTCTTATTAAAATAGCAAGAGTATGGATCCAAATGGTTTATATATATAGAAGGCTTCTTGTGTTTGTCGGGTACAGGATTACTTTCTGTAGTAAAGCTTGCTTTTTTTTTACTGTACTTACCCCAGTGCTGTGAAAGTACTTAATGTGAATTAAAGTGAATACTCAAGATTGTTGCACTTGAATCCTCCTCTACTCCATGCTCATATTTATCTATTTATTATATCGTAGAACAGTAAGGTTAAATGCTTTTTGCACTTCAGCACTAGTCCTAATATGTTCTAATATTATTCATCATGCTTGCGGGTCAGTTGGGATGAAAGTGGTTGCCCACACATGAGTCTTACTCTTGTGGTTGACATTCTCATCATACTGTAGGAATGCC